AAACAATGCACAGGGACGTGCATGATATTTAATGGGGGAGGATGTAACCCAGAAGCTAGAACCTTAATGAGGTATTAACTTGGCTTACTAATATGATCCATCCTCAATTTAGATAAAATATAAAATATAAATTAAGGAAATTAACAATACTAATTAATAGATATCTAATTAACTAATAGATAATTTCATAATGAATTATTGGAAGGGTGAATAACTAAAATAACGAGTTTAATATTAAACATCGGTTAAAACAAGAATCTTGAACATCCCTAACAGAAACAGAAGAGGAAAGCTGTATACTATTGGTCCAGGTGGGAATCTGAAATTTCATTGGCTGAGAGAAATAAGTCCCGCCTCCGCGAAATAAAACCGTGCGACGCAGCTGAGCGAGAGGAGAGACAAACGGCTGTGCAGCACGCAGATACAGAAAGCAAAGACTGAGCGGTTAGAGAGAGAGAGAGAGAAAAAAAAAAAACAACGGTCGAGGCCGTGAAGAACCCTGATTTGGGTGCCGCATAGATAGAGGGAGAGGCGGACTTGACTCCTTCTAATAAGAGCTAGGAACTTGGAACCAACGCGGTGAGTAAAGAAAAAAGAAGAGAAAAAGCTAACGATGCAACTTAAAAAAAAAAAAGGAAACTTAAATAGCTTATCAAATTAATTCCATTCTTATAGATTTGTGTGGAGACGACAGAGTGAACCAATCCTCTGTAGGAGGGAACCGTTGGAGCGCGTTGGTGAGTGAATGAGATTAAATTCAGTAAATTATTAAATTCAAAAAGCTAATTACAGCAACCGAGGTGACAGCAGTGGGCTGCTAGACGTTAGATCCCAGGAGTTAACGGCTCAAACCGCCAGTTAACGGCGGTAGGGCATATGGGATTCCCAGGAGTTAACGGCTCAAACCGCCAGTTAATGGTGGTACGGCCTAGATGTACAAGGTCCTCAGGGGCGTTATAGCTAACGCCATAGAATTAGCAATGCGTCCCTTAACCAAACATTTAATAATAAAAAAAATAGATAAATAAAAATAAATAAAAGCTAACTGATTAGGGAGGAATTATTTTACAAAGGTGGACCAAAGGACCAGAAATTATATTTTGTTGAATTTTGTTATAGAACATTTTATTTATTTATTTATTTATTTATTTATTTATTTATTGTGTTACAGATATACAAGGTGTCACAATGCTGTATAGAAACACAACTAAATGTATCCTTGTTGTCATGAATGTATTTCTTGTCGAATAGTGTAGAGTAATAGAATCTAACTGAGCCTATTGAGCTGAACAATTGTTGTCATATGTAATTATATTTCCAGAGCTACTGAGAATTATTTTAATAGACAATCAAATTGATGTTATGTTAGTTGAACTGTGAACCCAAACATGATTGGCTATGCCAATAGAGTGAAGCATTTGTTTAAGTCTGTAAGACTTTATGCTGTGATGTGACGAGAAGGGTCGATGCCAACTTGCTAACAGTCCTGTTGTTTACAGGCTGGGTTTTTTTTTTCCTTGGGTTTGATCCCGACTCCTATGATCACTCACTTGGAACGAGAACTGGATTTCTTCCTGACGAGGGAGATGGCGAGCCTTAACCACTGAACGAACCAGGACATCTCAAGTAACTGAAGAGCAGACTGCTCTCTTCTGTGAACAATCTCAACGGTGCGGTAGGAAAAAATCGCACCACCGGACTCTGACTTTCACCCCAAGCGTGGGGATTTGACTTGACGCCGGCTGACTTGTGACTCATATGATCAAATCTCATACCGAGCATTTTACTATTGTCGATTGTTTTCATCTGTTTTTGTGTGTTATCTTTATGTGTTATATTTCCCATTATTATTAAAATTTAGTATATAAACCGTTTCATGCTATACCCGTGACTCCAGTCATTCTTAAACAACCTCCAATTCTCCCCGAACCTAATTATTGGCCCATTTGTTTATTTTTTCTTTTAATTATCTTATTGTATCCTGTAATCCGGTTACATAAACAAAGACCACGTCCCTCTTTAGCTTTTTTAAAAGAAGAAAAATTGACACTCTGTTTTAATATAATCTTCCTTCCAACATGACTAAGACATTAGATTGTTTTGCAATCACTTCACTGTAAAATTCTTACTTATTGTACCTTTAAGTAAATATCTTACTGTGAATGTTTGTCTAAAAATCCTGAAAAATGATTCTGTTTGAAGTGAAGCAACCAACTAAATGCAATCAGTCGACCTCATTTTACCGGTAGGAAGTACTCAGTAAAGGAAGCTACTCGTAGAGAGCGATAACCCTCCCCACCCCCATTGTGGTGAACATAATCTTGCAGCCCGATGCCTTTTCATTGTTCTAATCTCGCTTTAAAATGAGCTTTAACTTCTGTGTTTGACAGCAAAACAGCTGTCAGGAAATTAAAACCACACTTATAACATTTATTTGTAGCTTGAACATGAAGTCGTCACATAAAATAACTCTACCTGTTTGTGCAGATGCTCACTTTACTGGACTCTGCATCTAGGATGGCTGGATTTCCTCAAATGCATTTATGTTTGGTGAGCTTTCTTTGACCGCGAGCCATTTTCCAGTCTGTTTTCAGATGACAGCAGAGCTTCCTGGCAGCTGCAAAGTCCGCTGTGCTTTTAATTCAATGTTTTGGAAAACTACTTATAAATACTTAAACAGAGGAACTACAGGTGCCCCGTTTCATCTCCTTTAAGTGACCGCCAGCAAAAATACCAGGCTTCAACAATAGCAATTATCAAATTATGGCTTCAGCTCAGAGGGACCGGGACAGCATGCATCAAACTTTGACAGGTCAAATAAATGTTTAGATTACAAAGAACACATAACATTGTCAAAAAAGGACAAAATCCTTCTAAAAGTTCAGCATAAGTACTAGAGAAGTGTCTGCAAGAAGCTAAAACACTTCTAATCTGCAGGATTATGATGAGAAGTCTGTAGAATGCTCAAGTAAATTATCTTTATATAGATTAGCACACAGCCTTGCCATAAGGCCAAGAGTCTTTAGGTCTTAGACAACTCGTGTAATAAAAAATAAAACACAATAAGTGGCATGATTTTCGTAGCAACATTGGAATGTAAATACTTTAGAAAACCTTTTAAACCAATCAGCTGTTTCCTACATAAATATGAGCAGCTGTGGCATTTGGGGCCAGAGGAGCCGGGCCCCATCGGATGTTGCTGTGGAGTTTTATGCTCATAGTAATCAGCGTAAAAAGATCATTAGTATTGAAGTGATATTGTAAAAGGTTATAAACATTTGTGTACATAAATCAAAGTCTTTACTAGAGTAATGACAAGATAAGCTGACTAAATCCTCTTGAAGCACCGGGAACACGGGCTGGCCCATTAGCGTTTGTAACAGACTTTTCCACATGATCCAAAAAACTTTGAAATTAAATGTTGCAAATTTGTCCATCCATACATCCATGTTTGGCCGCGGGGTCGAGTCGCTGGAGCAACAGCTTAAGCAGGGAGGCCCAGACTTCCCTCTCCCCATCCACTTGGGCCAGCTTCTCTGGGGGAGTCCTAAGGCGTTCCCTAGCCAGCTGAGAGACATAGTCCCTCCAGCGTGTCCTGAATCTTCCTTTAGGTCTCCTCCCGGTTGGACGTGCCCGGAAAGCCTCTCCAGGGAGGCGTCCAGGAGGCTGACCAGATGCCCGAGCCACCTCAACTGGCTCCTCTCAATGTGGAGGAGTAGCGGGTCTACTCCGAGCCCCTCCCGGATGACCGAGCTTCCCACCCTATCTCTAAGGAAGAGCCCAGCCACCCTGTGGAGAAAACTCATTTTGGCCGCTTGTATCAGCGAACTTGTTCTTTCGGTCGCTACCCAAAGCTCGTGAACCCCACCTATGCTAACCACCGATGATGTGTGATTTAGTTTTATATATTCAATCAATGAATCTGTGACCTGTCTTTGTTGCTACTGGACCTGTAAGTAATAGCATTTTTTCACCCAACAGTGGATCTTTTTAGAATGACTTTACTCGTGTTAGCGTTAGCTCATTGTTAGCGCTTGTTTGCACTAGCTACAGCATTTCGCGGCAGTGTTATTTTGCAGCAGTTATGCACTATTTCACTAATTTTTTCAGTAAACCTGTGTCAGAGAAACCAACATGTTCTAAATGAGTTTTGGTGGCTGCTTGACATTTAACAGCGGTAGGCCAAAGTGCAGCTGTCTATAAAAGGTGGTTTCTTGTCCAACCACTTCCTGTGAAGGTACTCACCTTTATCAGTTCTTCTCTCAAGCTTGTGTCTGAAAGCTGATCAGCTTTTTCAAACACCATGAGTTAGAATGACATTCGTATGTTGTGGTCTAAAATACTGAAGAAAAAATTGGTTCTTTTAACCTTCAAAATCTAACCATGACTTATGTTTTTCATCATGAATAATTTTACTTTCAAAAATATAAAACACACCAGTATTACTTTCTACGGGATCGAGCTATTAAACACACCACTCAATGCATCATGATGCTCTGTAAGAATGAGAAAAAGGCTCTTGATAATTTAAGGGTTTTTATTTAAAGTCTTTTCAAAGTAGATGCAGATTTTTCTGGAACACACACAGCGCCCTCTGCTGGTGAGATCAATCCTAAGACTCACATTCTTTTGGACTCCTGTTAATCATTTGATTTCTATCATTAATGTAGTCAATACAGGCCAAAGCAAAGTAAAACTATTCATAAATTACTTATAAAAAGTTAAATTATACAAAGTGGTCAAATTGTATATAAATTTGTACACTTGTTCATTTAAAAAAATGACACAAGTCAGGCTCATTTAAAATTTTTGATTCTGATGAAATAAAATTTTACATGTGTTTTGGAATGTTTTATGTTGTTAGAAGTTATTTCATATTATAAAACAGACAGGAATTTTAGCTCCAGATGTGTGTGAGAAGGTAATTATGGCTCCAACTGTGAACAACAGAAAAAACCAAAGTCACTTTGTTCATTTAGGTACTTGAAAAAGCTCAGGAGGCAGAATCCAACACTTTTATTACAGACTGCATGTCCTCTTGTAGCATGATACAGCGATTATCAGATAGATGTACATAGAAATATTTATATATGGCTCTGCTTTAAGGTACATAAAATCACTCAACAAAATACCCTGTTAGGACAAATGATACAAAGTGCACAAATAAAGTCGGTTCAAGTCAAGTGCATCATGTGACTAAACTGTTGTTTTTAAGAGAAGGACAAAACCAACAGAATGAAGCTTACATTCAAAACCTCTGTCATCTGAGGACCGTCTCATGGGCCTGAATTAAAGGTACCGACCCCATGCAGCGTATCAAAACGGCACACGCCCGCACTCACCCACACGCATATAAATACAGACTTAAATATAAACATATTTGGCACCATATATTAGCATAGAACATAAAATAAAAACTTGCTGTACAACGCTGTTTAGCATACGGAGGTAATTCTTCATTTTGGCAAGTTACAAGAACACCCAGGTTTAGAAAAAGTTCATGTGACATGCTCATTAACACATTTTAGAGTCAAGAAAAAAGACACCGTATGCAAGAAACGTTTCTAAACAGTTAAATGGTCTTCCCTAAAAGCCGACTGAGCTAGTTCTCCGTGTCGATGAAGCAGATCAGAAAAACCACCGCGTTTCCTCAGAAAGTTTGAAGTCGGTCACAGCTCTTCAGCGCCATAATGAGTAATGTAAACAAATGGCAACAAATAGCATGACCTCTGAACCCCCTTAAAGCTGAGGTGGTTTAAGGGAGGTGATGGTGTATTGCACTCTGAAAGTCCTCGCTGCACAAAGAGGTCGCCCTGGCCTGTTCAAACCATCAAACCAAAAGCTGGTCTACAGATATATAGAATTAATAAGATATTCAGTAATACTATGTTTATTATAACATCTTCTGTATATTAACATCAATATATAGATTATTTTAACATTATGATATGAAAGATACATATTTATAAATTGCTATGAATATAGGCAGCTGCCTGGGTCGGGCAGCGCCAGATATAACATAATAACTATTCTATGTTCACGTATTCTCATCCAAACAAATACAAATAAATGCGCACAGCTCACAGAGTAAACCAGCGTCAAACTCTATAGTGAAAATGAACTGAAGCCTCCCATGCACAGAGAGGGTTAAATACAGGTTGAGACTGGTTTCCAAACAGGCCAGTGGGAACCTTAAAACCTCAGCACGCGCGCTAAGTAACAGCAATCTCTTGTGGACGTGTAGAAAAATTACACCCTGACCAGATAGATCGATTGGAGAGAAGTGAAAGCACTGCAAATAATTTATCTGGGGCTGCATTTAAAATGTTAAGTTACAATAAATATGGCCAGTAAAGGCCTGGAGCCTACAGCGAACTCTTTACAATCTCGTTTCCAGCCACCCGACCACCACACACATTTAGCTCATGTCTACTTTCACTAACACACACACACTCAGAGCAGCTGACACACATATGCACTGGAAACTATACGAACAGACAAACGATCCTTTAACCTCAGCGAATCTGTGTTAACCTCGGTCTGTGGTGGGGCTCAGTACTACGTGTCGAGTTGTGAGCAAGTGAGCAAATCCTGCAGGAAAACTCCAGCTGTGCATGTTTGTCGGAGACAAAAGAACACATGCAAGTTTTACGCCTCGTGCCTGACTGACTCCTGACTCCTTGGGTAACTCCGCTGTATCTTCCACAGATGTACCAAACCACCTATCAGAACCTCCGACCCTCAACAGGAACAAACACGCAACACTCCACTCTACATGTAAATAGCCTGGTTCCAAAGACATGCAGGCAATGTCCACCATCACGGATGGCTAATTCACTAACAAGTTTACGGCAAACCTTGGTGAAGCAAGGCTGGGGGGAAAAGGGAGCCGTTTAAAAGACGCCAGCGGCATGCATTCGGCTAAGAAAGAAAAGCAAAAGCAAACAAAAAACAAAAGCCTGTTATCTTATTCATAACATAACTCCACGTTTGTCTATGCAAAAATCACTCGACATGGCAAGCTTACAATATCAAAAATCTTCAAGAAGGAAAAACTGCATCAAGCTCTACCTCTAAGACAAGCCAGCTTTATGATAAAACCACACCAACTATCTGTAGTCTACAATCCTGTGCTAACACAATGCGCTTGTTCCGAAAGTCCCCCTAAAGCAGAGGGTTAAAGAAGGTTCCTTCTCTTCTCTCCATCGTAGCGCCTCTGCGTTAAACCACGACACACTGCCGCTCGCCTTACTGTCCTTCAACTGAAAACATGTGCAGAACTGGCTTTTAACCCCGGTGGGGATGATGTTAAAGGAAATTAAGTTTTGCACCCAAAATGTACATCAATGATGGTGGTTCTCACACAGATACCACCTGGTATGACAATGCGAGCACTGGACTGAGCAGCCGCATGCAGCATACAGTCGCAAGCATGTTTGCCTCCCCGCAAGTGCAGGGGGGACAGTACGATGCCCCGAACAGAGCCTTAACGGGACCATGACTGAGCCAAAAAGAAGCTGTAATGGTCAGAGAGCTGCCAGGTTGTCAAATTGCAATGAGTGGAGCCATCTAGAGCCCGGTGAGGTCCACGATGGCTTTGATGAAGATGGTGTCGTCTCGGATGTAAGAGTTCTTGCCATCAAGCTTGGAGAGAGGGCAGAAAAGCGGACAGCCGCTGGCGATGTTCATCTCACTGACAGGTCTCTGGAAGGACGAGGAAGTGACATCTGGTCGAAAGGCATCGATGATGTGCTCCCTGCTGCTCTGGTCCAGCAGCATCAGAGTCACCTGGAGGTAAGACCAGAGAGAGAGAGAGAGATGTCGATACCACGTTTACCTTCAGTTACTGTAACTAATAGTTAAGGTATGGGTACTAAAACAAGGGGCTTTAGTAAAACAGTTCTATGTAATTAAAAGTAAACCAGTCTCAACGTTCAGTGCAACACAACATCGTGTTGACCAGAGAAGGATTCCCCCTCGTGGTCTAATCAACGGTGAATCCATTCCTGTGGTGGAGGCTACATGGGTAGTTCCCACAGGACACCAAGGTAGGCAAAAACAGTGACCACGGACAGTGCTCCAACTATTCACACACACACACACACGCACGCACGCACGCACGCACGCACACAGCCTACTGGGAAATTCAATCCTAGGGTGCTGAAAAGGAGGCTCTAATCAACTGTCAGACTTTGCATTCAAAAGGAGAAGTGGGGCTTTTGCACTGTCAACTGGGGGGGGGGGGGGGGGGGGGGGGGGGGCTTTGGGATAGTGGGGTTCAGGGGTCCCTTTAGCAGGCTGTTCATTCTCTACAACCAAAGACTAGAATGCAGACTGAATTCTGCCAGAAAGTAAATGAGAATGACCAGATTCTCCTAAGACGTACTGGTCCAACTGGGGGCCCGGGTCTTATACCACCCAGTAACTACAAAGGCCAATAGCACAAATGCACGGGCATGGTCACTTCCCAGTGTTACAGCTTCATCTGCTGTTCAACCTGATTGAAAGACTGCTTTAGGTCTCAAAGTGCACTGCTTAGAAGGGTTTCAGATTTGGGCTGACAGCAGCTTCATACCATCTAAAACTCAACACCTCAACACATTCTTTGTGGAAATTTACTTTCAGAACTGCCTTCGTGTTAGAGCTGCGCAACGTTACATTTGAACATCAACACTGCAATGCACGTGTCCGTAATAGTCACAATGCAGGTTCCTCTGCAATGTCGGCCTTAATGTGTTGTCACTTACTGTTAACTCATTCGCTGCCAGACAATTCCTGATTGGTAAAGCCCTTCGCTGCCAGCGTTTCTCACCGTTTTTACTGTTTTGTTTAAGAGTGACAGAACGTTGCACACTAGGATGATGTTGACACCAAAACAACCAAAACAAAGCGGAGACTCACCTCTTACGTCAGGAAGAATCCGCACGTTTCGAGCGTTTTCCATTCTTTCATAATCCGTTGTTGAATTGTGATCGGCAGAAACTTTTCCGGTTCACGCCTCACTTTTTTTTTTTACAGCAGCGGCCCCAAACGATCTCCTAACACGTGGATTTTCTGCTTCCTGATCACATGACGTGTGACGTACGCGGATGAAGATCGGCTTTAGAGCTGAGATTGTCACGATCTGCCCCTTCCCTCTTGACTGTGTCTCTCTCCTGCCCCGATTAGTCCAGATTGTTTTCACCTGTCCCTCGTTAACCTGCCCATGTGTTCCCAATCAGCCTCGTGTATTTATACCACATGTTTTGCTCCTGTTCCTTCATCAGATCATTGTTGTTTGTTGTCACCGTTGTGTTTGTTCCTGCCGTTCCCGTTCTGTAATTAAATTCGTTTTTACGTTCTCCGTGCCTGCTCTTCTGCCTCCGGAACCCACCACCACACATGGTCCACCATCTCCAGCCACACACCGTGACAGAGATGTTTGTTCTCACGGTGCGAGGGCTCGTTCCGACGCCCACACAGTAAAAAAAAAAATGCTAATGACGACTTTGGCAGTGACCGTTTGGATTTAAAATGATAACTTTAGTCGTTAATGCCAGTGAATGAGTTAACGGTACCCGACACACAACTATCCACCAATCACAATTGCTCTTACTCAGTTTGTGGAAGCAGACCAAGAGTGGTTGGTCATGTGAGATTTAGTTGTTTTCCAAATTTCATTGGCTATGTATTGCATTCAGCACTATACAGTAAAACAGAGGGGACGTTAGTGAACGATCAAACAGAGCAGGGCCTGTGGGCCTTTGAAAGAAATATCTTCTGTTAATGTGCCCATTTGTCTTTTACCTTCTGGTTGAAGGGCCATTTGAGCAGAGCATCACTCAGTCCTCTCATCACCACAAAGAACAAAGACAGGTGGCTGCCGCGCCCCGTCCCGTCTCCGTTCAGATAGATCCGTAGGCACATCTTGTAGCCGTATTTACTGGTATAGAAGGCTTGGAGGGACAAAGGAAAGACAGATTTAGCTGTTCGGAGTGACTGGGTCAGTCTAAGCTTTAAACACAAGGCTTATCACAATCATCGTGGAAATAAAGTTAGAATTTTGCAACAGCAGGGACACATTCGGAAAGTAAACACCATCTTCTGTTGCTGTATTGCAACTCTTTTACTGACCAATCAAGACGATTGTGCTTGGGATGGCAAAAGTCTGTAACACTGTTACCTGGTGAGAACATAGCAGGGGCCCGACCTGCAACAGCATCCTGTCGCTTTTTAGCAAAATCTGAGATTCTCCAGATGAAGACTCCATCAAAGGTGGTGGCTGACATCTCCCTCAGTCGTCCCTCCATCTCAGCCACCGTAAGGTCCTTCAGTCCCACGGTCCTCTCCAGCTGTCGCACCTGGAAGGTGGACACAGTGATTACTCTGGGTCAGTAGAGACAGAAGTCAGCTACACCTAATCAACAGATTTGCTTCCAAATTGAGATTTAAACACTTGTCGTTTTTTTTAATGAGGGAAATTATTTGATTTGTCATGATTTGTGGGCTCGACACACGGGAGGCGACAAACGACCGCAATCAGCGAAATTTGTCGCCGTCGCTTTTATTACCTGACACACGGGAGGCGATCCGCAGCAGCGGCCAGCGGCAAAGCCGTCTACGCGTTCTGTTCCATGGCGAAATCGAAACTGTGATTTTACTATATAAAACATAATAATAATCAACTTCTCCTCCATGTTTGCTCGGAGATGTACGGAGCATCCTGTCCGCTCATTGGTCAGTAAATGAAACCTCCGTTGATTGATCCTCGTCCGAGCGACAGCGATGAAAAGTTGAAAATGTTTCAACTTTCTGGGATCGCGTCGCTGGGTCGCCTGTGCACGACACGTGCACAAAATTTCACACGCACGTTTTTCGCGTTTCGCTTGGTAGGAGGGAGACCCGCGATTATCGCTTTGTCGTGCATGTCTCACTGAAAATGAATGGAGGAGAGGCGATGTCGCCTCCCGTGTGGCGAGCCCATAACTCTGCGCCCTAAAATTGAGCGACTGTATGATTTATCAACCATCAGCAATAGAGCAATCGTTCTTTTAAGTGATATTTTTTATGCTTGTGAAAATATTCGTGCACTGGGACATTACATACTCCCAGGTCAAGTCAGCATGTTTTTAGCAATGCTCCATGTACAAAAACATTATACATCATTCGAAAGCTAGGATTCTTGTATTTTAAAAACCCAACTATTTGAAATGTGGGGCTGAAAATCCCGTCCACGCAGCTAACAATGATTATAGTGTTTTTAAAGCACCAAATGGCTAATAACAGCTAAACAGATAAAAGACTGAATATTTTACATAGTAAGAACCACGTTGGTCAACAATGATCAGAGGTGATTTTTGTGGCCTAATGGTAGAGTGTCCGCCCTGGGACTGGGAGATTGGGGTTCAAATCCCGGTCGGGTCATACCAAAGAGCTTAACAATGGGACCCAATGCCTCCCTGCTTCACACTCATCTTTAACCCTTTGATGCATAATGGTCACTACAGTGGACAGGTACTCAAAATTATTTATTTATTTTTGCTATTAAGCACAGCTGTTGAAGACTTTATTGCATGTGAGCCCCTCCATTTGGGCTTCAGCAAGTCAAGCCAACATATTTCATGTTCAGATTGCACGCTGTCCACTGAGATGGACGTGTAATAAATTATTTGTAAATTAACAAAATGTTACAAAAAAAATTTGTTGAAATTTGTTTCATTCACACCTAAAGATGAATGAAAAAAAAATGTTTAAAAAATCATGGTTGAAGATTTCATAATTCATGCATCAAAGGGTTAAGAGGTTGGACCAGGGGGGTAATACTACCACATAGCTCCCAAGTGTGGCCGCTGCTGCAGCTCACCGCTCCCCACGGCATGGGTCGGATGAGATGAATTTCACCAGTGTGTGATGAATTAATGGGACTTTAACTTTAATCAAGAAAATGTCTCATTTGTTTAAATGGAGAACGTGGGAAACAAATGTAAAACTGGAACCTGTCACTAGAGTCAGTGTTTCCCAACCCAGGTCCTCAGGACACACCGACCTGCATGTTTTCCATGTCTCTGCTTCAGCACACCTGATTTACACTGCCTCCTCGGGAGGACATCAAGTGCTGCAGATGCCTGTTATTCACTCATTCATTTAAGTCAGGCGTGTGGCAGCAGGGACACGCTAGTGTTTAAAAGGGCAACGCGGAAAACATGCAGGACGGTGTGCCCTGAGCAGCAGGGTTGGGAAACACTGCTCTAGAGGGAGGTTAGGAGTTGTTTGTTTATTATGTAAACAACTGTTTTGTGTATTGGGTCCACACTAAAAAGAGGCAACGGAGCTATGGATTAAATAAACGGCGGTATTTCCAGTCCTAGTTCGATCTCATACCTTATTACTCAGAGCTTCGATCTTATCTTGGTCCAGTTTATGCTGCCGGGTGCTGGCCTCCATGGTTGTGGCAAACCTTTCCACTTCTCTGTTTAGAACACACACCACGTTTTCAAACGTGCCGGATTTAACCTCCAGTTCTGTGCACCTGCGGCCCAGCTCGACCACCTTGGTCTTCTCGCTGTGGAGCTGCAGCTCCAGCGCTGCGCCCACCGAGCTGGGCAGGGGTGTGAAGGAGGTAGAAACAGAGAGAGTGGGAGGAAGAGTGGGAGGAAGAGTGGGAGGTGGAGGGAGAGGAGCTGAAGCGGCTGGACCAGGGGGACCAGAGCTGGAGGAAGAGGAGGAGGAGGCGGCAGCTCCCTGCACGGGAGGCCCAGAGGAGGTGGTGCTGAGCAGGGAGACTCGAGCCTCGAGTTCCCTGAGGGATTGTTGGAGTTCTACCAGTTTGTGTCCGGCTATTTCCAGTCCCTGGGGCTGCAGGCCCTCCATGCTTACTTTCATGCCCATAATGTAGTGCAGGAGCAGGTTCAGGTGCTCATAGGCAAAAGCACGTTCATGGTCATGAATCTTCTCTTTCTCCACCTTCAAAAAACAAGCAGGCATCACACCAGGAATATGATGAGCTGTAACCGGCTGAAATGTAATTGAACTACATTCATTTCCACATGTTACATATATGACAATAACTTGATTGAAAAGGGGACATATTAAGCTAAACTTAACTTTTGCATCCTTATGTTCTGCCATGAGGGTCTCTGCTGCCTCTATACACACTCCAAATGTGAAACAAATGGTCCGTGTGTTTTCTGTCAGTGTTTGGATTTAGGAGTTATGTGCCTAAAACTGCCCTTTTCAGAAAGTCCCAGTTTGTGATGTCACAAAAGGAGAAAGTAGAGTAGAGCCACCTTTCATGTCCAAGAGAGAGCTACTGCTTTCTACAAGCCCTTCCTGAGTATTTGAGCATCTCAGCTTGTAGCAGCCTGAACAGGAAACATGTGGTCGTGGCCAGCTCTAGATTGTTTGCATTAAAGTGATTAAGCCCTGAAATTGCTCATTCTGGAAGGTACTAAAATTGCTAATGATCCAACTTCTGAAATTGCATACGTGAGAGAGATTTTGTGCAAAGAACTTCATGAGCATGTTGGGCATCGACCATAGAACAAAGAAAAACTTAAGAAAAAGTCATAGTATGTCCCCTTTAATATTTTAGTACTGTAATACAGAAACCACAAGTATAGACCACAGAGCTGCCGGTCTAAACCATCGACATTTATAACAACTAGACACAGGAAAGTAATGCAGAAGTTAAAGCTCATTTGTCATGACTTCTAACTCTCCTGAAGGCTAAACTAATGTTTAGTTGTTTTTAAAAAGTCAGAGCAAACAATGACTGATTTTTATTTATGCACCAAAACACTGTGGTGACGCCTACAGCTATTATTTTCCATACAGTTCTATTTCCATGTTCAGCACAGACTTCCTGTTTGGACAACCAGGCTCCTGTAGCAGCATCTGTCTGGATTTAGAGCAACACCATCCGTCCTATTTGTGATCGATCAAGTAGAAGATTGGCTGGTGTCTGAAAATGTTCTGTCTGAACACTACAAATATATCTATTTGATTGGTTTCTTTGTTGATTGCAGTGATTCTAGTGTGATAAAAGATGTTTAATCACAATTAAACTGCTCCGTTCTGCACCTGCTGACTTAAATTTGCAGGTGAACTCTGGGGTAGAAATGGTGTTAATATCCCAGTAATCACCCAATATGGGTCATTTTACTACTGACCGAAATAAACATGATCAAGTTCTGTTGTTCATTTAGAGTAGCCCTAATTTAAACTGCTGCAGTCCCATAGAAAAAACAGACACACTCGACGGTTACCCCAATGCACACTGGAAGCAACAGCAGCATGGAACGGCTCTACGGAGCTGGCAGTGGAGTGGAACAACATCATATATGACATCAAAGAGCGATAACATTATGATTTCCTTTTTTTGGGCTTATTGCATAAACAAACCATAAGCTATTTACTCTCGAGGGATTTTGTGATCTTGGGAGTCAAGCGAGGAGCACGGCTTCGCTGCTGAGACTCTCCTGGTGTGCACTGGAGTGCTGTGATTATCGCGAGTGAACCGTTCCGCGCCACTGATGCTTTCAGTGTGCAGCCGGGGTTACTCTGTATAATTAATCGATCGATCGATCGACCAATTGACAAATCAACCAACCAACCAATAAATCTTTATTGATAGACTTTACTTCCACAGTTTAAAAAACAAAACATCACAGAAAACATCAGGAAACAGAATGTTTATAAATACTATAAAAGTATTTAAAGGCATAACCAAACTTCTGACTTATAGTTTTATGTTAAATAATGGGCTGCTACATCATCCACAGTAGCTGTTGTTTAACTGCTTCTGCACCAAAAATAATAAGACGTAAATATTAATGTGGCAAGGTGGAGAAACAAGGGCCCGGGCGGGATTCGACCCCCAGACTCCCGGGTGAGAGTCATGCGCTCAAACCAGTCAGCCAAAGGGACATCCCCTTGGCCAAGTAGCCAGGGCGCATGATCAATCGGGACACTGTGACAGGACGCTCACACTGTCACATTAGTACAATTTTCATATTTGTGTATATTTTAGTATTTCCTGTTTGACTGTGACTTAAACAGCTGTAACACTTTGTTCCTGATCGTCTGACTAATCTGTGTGACTGAAGCAATCACTTCCTATTTGGTCTCTTTTTAATCACTCTTTCATGTTAAACTCCCTTTATCGCCTTTATTATGTTATTTATGTTAAAATGAGGTAAGAAGGCACTGTAAAACACACAGACCATGAAAAAACACAAGCAGGATGTACTTACAGACATGTCACATCCAACGACATGAAATCGACATGGAGTTCTGAATTTGCTGCAGAATTTAATATGGTCCACGTACTAGAGGAAAAAAATCAGAGCGTTAAGTCTGATGTTCTTAATTCAGAGTTAAACTCAGCAAACACGATCCTGGAAGGGATGTCCCTTGAGTGTGTTTGAAAAAAAAAAATCTGAAATAATTCACAAGTATACAAAAGCATGTTGTTACCGGGCCTTTCCACCAAACCCATAAGCATCTGCGAAGCGTAGTACGCAGCATCTCGCTGCCTTTATACTGGTTCTGTGCGTTTCCACCAGCTGCGAAGCGTCGCGTTTTGGATGTGTCCCAGAGGTGTGGCGACGCATTGCTCCGCTAATGTTATGCTTCCGAATCTGTTTTTCACGCGTTACGCTTCCAGAACACTCCGCAGATCAGATCGGGTTAGACAGGAAGTCAAACATGAAAACAGCGTATAGTATCTGGAAACTTTCAAAATAAAAGCCGCGTGCAGGTTTCCTGTTTCTTAACTAGAAAAAATAACGTATCATTACCTGTGACGCCTCCGTAGCCGAGCTAAACAGAGCAGAGAATCAAACACAGACCTTTCTGGATACATGCTATCGTTTTTCTCCTTTCTTGCTGTATCCTGTGAACTGGTGAAATCACGTGAGATCTTGCAACTCTCCGGTGATTCTGCGAACTTGTGGGACCGGCTGAATGAAAAGCTTTTGTTGCAGATTCACGTCTGAAACACCCCAATGGGCCTTAAGCTTCAAGTGGAAAGGCCAGCTCTGAGTAAAAATAAAAACTGTTCACTGCGTCTCTTTCCCTGAACAAATGAAGACAAATATTGGCGTTAGCCATCTTAACTTTGTGTGTTTTGGAGTTACCTTTTCTCTGGGTATTTTCTTTTTGGCACAGCCTTCACAGATCATCGGATACTTGGGGCAGATCTCATCGTGTGCCTGAAAGAAGTCACAGTGTCCCTTATAACGTCAAACAATGGAGCTGGAAACATCTCATCAACACAAATCCTTCCTAAACCTTGATGTTTTTGAAGTGAAATGGCTCCTTGCAGTACTTGCAGTTAAGCGTCCTCTCTGGACACTCCCGCTCATTGTGGCGCTCCTGTTCGTTGAAGCGTATTCGTTCTTTGCAGGAAGGGCATGGGATGATCATGAACTCACATTTCCCTTCATGATTCAGCTGTGGGGGAAAAAGTTGTTTACATCAGGTTACAAATACAGTACGGTAGTCGTGTAAATATAGACTGAAACTGTGCAAACACTTCAGGTGTTTTAAATATTTATGCTTCCTCATGTCCTGAACACATCCTTGTGAGGTCCCAAAATCATTCTGCATGAAGATTAACAAACTAAACATGATGCTAGGAGTGTTTAGCTTGATTTGGTCATGATATGTCTGATTAAAAGAAGAGAGGGATGAGATGAAATATAGAAGAGAGCGATGCATAAATAAAATCCACAAATTCAGTATTTACTACGGATATATTACAGTTACAAAAAATCTTGTGTGTGTGTGTGTGTGTGTGTGTGTGTGTGTGTGTGTGTGTGTGTGTGTGTGTGTGTGTGTGTGTGTGTGTGTGTGTGTGTGTGTGCACAGATACAGCTGGTTGAAGCACACATATGAACAACATCACAGATACAGATGCAGGTATCAGAAATATCCAGGCTCTGCGGGATCTGAGTGCACAGAAAACTGAGCAGGGCTGTGAAAATGAAAAACCTGCCTCTGCAACATTTATGTGAGAAAAATGCATTCTTGAGGAACGGCAGGTTCTGACTGATCAGCTCACCTCATATTCTTTGATGGTTCCTTTCCAAGTACAACTCTCATTGATGCAAACAGCAGACAGGCTTTCAACTTCCCTTCGAACGGCGTTGTCAGGGAAAGCCTGAAAATCACAACAAGGTCAGAACAAAAGTATCTATTTGCAACACTTTCTAAATCAAACACATCAACTTTTATTAGTAAAATAAACATAAAATATCATCCTTTCATGTTGAGTTTTTGAGAACGATTATGAATAGGGATGTTAGGTCAGGGAGGTGTTGGACCCAAAGAGGCATTCAGGTAAAATTAAAGAGGTTTCATGAAAATACAACAAAAAGAAATCCAAATGATGGAAAAAGGCAAAACAAAAAACATACCATGGGCTACAAGATATAACAGGAGGGTCTGACAAAAGTGAATGAAACCAGGATGATTAAATACTGAAGGAGGTGATTCTTAGACAGGTACAGGTGAGTTAATGAGATACAGGTATGCATGAGTAGTGACTGAGGAGTTGAGGGAAGGTGAAGATGGAACCTGAACAAAAACAGAAGACAGAAGACAAACCAAAGCACAAGGAAAACAATGTTAATATAAAGGGAACACAAGAGAGAACAAGCTGATGAAGAAGGGGCAAAAACCACGACCAACCAAACAGAATCTAAAATAATCCAACAAGAAAACTCCCACCAATCCAAAATAGCCACAGTCTACGACACAGATATCAATGATGGTCGATGAATGAGATATATATCGTCCATAAGCAAACGGCAACAAGATGCAAATAAACATGGTTTTTTTTCATATGGGCCTCCGTTTTACTCCGATACAGATATTAAAAATTACTCTGATACAGATATTAAAAATTACTCTGATACAGATATTAAAAATTACTCTGATACAGATATTAAAATTTACTCTGATACAGATATTAAAAAATACTCTGATACAGATATTAAAAATTACTCTGATACAGATATTAAAATTTACTCTGATACAGATATTAAAATGTACTCTGATACAGATATTAAAAATTACTCTGATACAGATATTAAAATTTACTCTGATACAGATATTAAAATTTACTCTGATACAGATATTAAAATTTACTCTGATACAGATATTAAAATTTACTCTGATACAGATATTAAAAATTACTCTGATACAGATATTAAAAATTACTCTTATACAGATATTAAAAGTTACTCTGATACAGATATACAAAATTTACTCTTATACAGATATTAAAAGTTACTCTGATACAAATAATAAAATTTACTCTGATACAGATTTGAAAAGTTGCTCTGATACAGGTGTTAAATGTTACTCTGATACAGATGTTAAAAGCTACTCTGATACAGATGTTAAACGTTACTCTGATACAGATGTTGAGGCTACTCTGATACAGATATTAAAAATTACTCTGATACAGATATTAAAATTTACTCTGATACAGATATTAACAATTACTCTTATACATATATTAAAATTTATTCTGATACAGATATTAAAAGTTACTCTGATACAGATATAAAAAATTTACTCTTATACAGATATTAAAATTTACTCTGATACAGATATTAAAAATTACTCTGATACAGATGTTAAATGTTACTCTGATACAGATGTTAAATGTTACTCTGATACAGATGTTAAATGTTACTCTGATACAGATGTTAATAGTTACTCTGATAAAGATATTAAAGTTACTCTGATACAAATAATAAAATTTACTCTGAAACAGATTTGAAAAGTTACTCTGATACAGATGTTGAAGCTACTCTGATACAGATGTTAAATGTTACTCTGAAACAGATGTTAAATGTTACTCTGATACAGATGTTAAAAGCTACTCTGATACAGATGTTAAACGTTACTCTGATACAGATGTTAATAGTTACCCTGATACAATCATAAAATTTACTCTGATACAGATTTGAAAAGTTACTCTGATACATATGTTGAAGTTACTCTAATACAGATGTTAAACGTTACTCTGATACAGATCTTAAAATCTACTCTGATACAGATGTTAAAAGCTACTCTGATACAGATGTTAAATGTTACTCTGATACAGATGTTAAAAGCTACTCTGATACAGATGTTAGTTGTTACTCTGATACAAATAATAAAATTTACTCTGATACAGATGTTAAAAGCTACTCTGATACAGATGTTGAATGTTACTCTGATACAGATGTTAAAAGCTACTCTGATACAGATGTTAAAAGCTACTCTGATACAGATGTTAAAAGCTACTCTGATACAGATGTTAAAAGCTACTCTGATACAGATGTTAAATGTTACTCTGATACAGATGTTAAACGTTACTCTGATACAGATGTTAACTGTTACTCTGATACAGATGTTAAAGGCTACTCTGATACAGATGTTAAAAGCTACTCTGATACAGATGTTAAACGTGACTCTGATACAGATGTTAAAAGATACTCTGATACAGATGTTAAACATTACTCTGGTACAGATGTTAAAAGCTACTCTGATACAGATGTTAAAAGCTACTCTGATTCAGATGTTAAAAGCTACTCTGATACAGATGTTAAAAGCTACTCTGATACAGATGTTAAACGTTACTCTGATACAGATGTTAAAAGCTACTCTGGTACAGATGTTAAACGTTACTCTGGTACAGATGTTAAAAGCTACTCTGATACAGATGTTAAAAGCTACTCTGATACAGATGTTAAAAGCTACTCTGATACAGATGTTAAAAGCTACTCTGATACAGATGTTAAAAGCTACTCTGATACAGATGTTAAACGTTACTCTGGTACAGATGTTAAAAGCTACTCTGATACAGATGTTAAAAGCTACTCTGATAAAGATGTTAAAAGCTACTCTGATACAGATGTTAAATGTTACTCTGATACAGATGTTAAAAGCTACTCTGATACAAATGTTAAAAGCTACTCTGATACAGATGTTAAAAGCTACTCTTATACAGATGTTAAAAGCTACTCTGATACAGATGTTAAAAGCTAAGCTGATACAGATGTTAAAAGCTACTCTGATACAGATGTTAAAAGCTACTCTGATACAGATGTTAAAAGCTACTCTGATACAGATGTTAAAAGCTACTCTGATACAGATGTTAAACGTTACTCTGGTACAGATGTTAAAAGCTACTCTGATACAAATGTTAAAAGCTACTCCGATACAGATGTTAAAAGCTACTCTGACACAGATGTTAAAAGATACTCTGATACAGATGTTAAACGTTACTCTGGTACAGATGTTAAAAGCTACTCTGATACAGATGTTAAAAGCTACTCTGATACAGATGTTAAAAGCTACTCTGATACAGATGTTAAAAGCTACTCTGATACAGATGTTAAAAGCTAAGCTGATACAGATGTTAAAAGCTACTCTGATACAGATGTTAAAAGCTACTCTGATACAGATGTTAAAAGCTACTCTGATACAGATGTTAAAAGCTACTCTGATACAGATGTTAAACGTTACTCTGGTACAGATGTTAAAAGCTACTCTGATACAAATGTTAAAAGCTACTCCGATACAGATGTTAAAAGCTACTCTGACACAGATGTTAAAAGATACTCTGATACAGATGTTAAACGTTACTCTGGTACAGATGTTAAAAGCTACTCTGATACAGATGTTAAAAGCTACTCTGATACAGATGTTAAAAGCTACTCTGATACAGATGTTAAAAGCTACTCTGATACAGATGTTAAAAGCTACTCTGATACAGATGTTAAACGTTACTCTGGTACAGATGTTAAAAGCTACTCTGATACAGATGTTAAACGTTACTCTGATACAGATGTTAAAAGCTACTCTGATACAAATGTTAAAAGCTACTCTTATACAGATGTTAAAAGCTACTCTGATACAAATGTTAAAAGCTACTCCGATACAGATGTTAAAAGCTACTCTGACACAGATGTTAAAAGCTACTCTGATACAGATGTTAAACGTTACTCTGGTACAGATGTTAAAAGCTACTCTGATACAGATGTTAAAAGCTACTCTGATACAGATGTTAAACGTTACTCTGGTACAGATGTTAAAAGCTACTCTGATACAGATGTTAAACGTTACTCTGATACAGATGTTAAAAGCTACTCTGATACAAATGTTAAAAGCTACTCTGATACAGATGTTAAAAGCTACTCTGATACAAATGTTAAAAGCTACTCCGATACAGATGTTAAAAGCTACTCTGACACAGATGTTAAAAGCTACTCTGATACAGATGTTAAACGTTACTCTGGTACAGATGTTAAAAGCTACTCTGATACAGATGTTAAAAGCTACTCTGATACAGATGTTAAAAGCTACTCTGATACAGATGTTAAAAGCTACTCTGATACAGATGTTAAACGTTACTCTGGTACAGATGTTAAAAGCTACTCTGATACAGATGTTAAACGTTACTCTGATACAGATGTTAAAAGCTACTCTGATACAAATGTTAAAAGCTACTCCGATACAGATGTTAAAAGCTACTCTGATACAGATGTTAAACGTTACTCTGGTACAGATGTTAAAAGCTACTCTGATAAAGATGTTAAAAGCTACTCTGATACAGATGTTAAACGTTACTCTGATACAGATGTTAAAAGCTACTCTGATACAGATGTTAAAAGCTACTCTGATACAGATGTTAAAAGCTACTCTGATACAGATGTTAAAAGTTACTCTTATACAGATGTTAAAAGCTACTCTGATACAGATGTTAAAAGCTACTCTGATACAGATGTTAAAAGCTACTCTGATACAGATGTTAAAAGCTACTCTGATACAGATGTTAAAAGCTACTCTGATACAGATGTTAAACGTTACTCTGGTACAGATGTTAAAAGCTACTCTGATACAGATGTTAAACATTACTCTGATACAGATGTTAAAAGCTACTCTGATACAAATGTTAAAAGCTACTCTGATACAGATGTTAAAAGCTACTCTGATACAGATGTTAAACGTTACTCTGGTACAGATGTTAAATGCTACTCTGATACAGATGTTAAAAGCTACTCCGATAAAGATGTTAAAAGCTACTCTGATACAGATGTTAAAAGCTACTCTGATACAAATGTTAAAAGCTACTCCGATACAGATGTTAAAAGCTACTCTGACACAGATGTTAAAAGATACTCTGATACAGATGTTAAACGTTACTCTGGTACAGATATTAAAAGCTACTCTGATACAGATGTTAAAAGCTACTCTGATACAGATGTTAAAAGCTACTCTGATACAGATGTTAAAAGCTACTCTGATACAGATGTTAAAAGCTACACTGATACAGATGTTAAACGTTACTCTGGTACAGATGTTAAAAGCTACTCTGATACAGATGTTAAACGTTACTCTGATACAGATGTTAAAAGCTACTCTGATACAAATGTTAAAAGCTACTCTGATACAGATGTTAAAAGCTACTCTGATACAAATGTTAAAAGCTACTCCGATACAGATGTTAAAAGCTACTCTGACACAGATGTTAAAAGCTACTCTGATACAGATGTTAAACGTTACTCTGGTACAGATGTTAAAAGCTACTCTGATACAGATGTTAAAAGCTACTCTGATACAGATGTTAAACGCTACTCTGATACAGATGTTAAAAGCTACTCTGATACAGATGTTAAAAGCTACTCTGATACAGATGTTAAACGTTACTCTGGTACAGATGTTAAATGCTACTCTGATACAGATGTTAAAAGCTACTCTGATACAGATGTTAAAAGCTACTCTGATACAGATGTTTAAACTGACTAACGCTGGCTGATACCGATGCTGACGCAGTCATATTGTGGATACGGTATTTAGTTATAAACAATACATATTTTACCCAATGGAGATGATGAACCTCAGTTTGGAGAAAGAGAATGGTTATGACTGGACCGACTAGCTAACGGCCAGTTATAAAATGGATTACTGCAGAGTTAAAATACCTGTAAAAGACTCATGATGTTTTATGCAGACATTACCGTCATTGATTTTATTTTAAACATGTTAAAGAACAATATTGATACCAAAAATAAATGTTTATGTTTATGACAGACACTTTCACCCAAAGTGACTTACACAGAGGTGAGGCAGCAAGGTGAGTTAAGGTTCTTACCCAAGGACACAATGGCAGAGTGATTAAGTATGACTTGAGATTGAACCAGCAACCTACCAATTACTAAACATCTCACTCCACCTCCTGAATCACTGCCACCTGATAAACATTCCCGTCCCATTATATACGACTCAGGTTGCAATCTTTATATAGGTAGAAATATATAGCACATAGCATAAATAGCAGCAGGAGGTAGCGGTAGCTCTTCTAGTGGATCCTATTTACACCAGAATGTACGGTCAAGTGAGCGTGATGTGAAAATGACGCTAATGTAAAGTGAATTAAACAGCATTTGTTTTGGGACTGAGGTTTTTGTCTTGGTCTATCTGCAACTAGCTGTTAGTTTGTCATATCTGATCAGAACTAATTTCTATATCTCCAAACTTAGGCTGCTCAAAGGGCCATCTCCCATATTTAAGATATTGTTAGAACATAGCCTTTGCACATAAACTCACTTAACCATCCCACTGTCCTAATGGGTGTGACCCCGTGAGGAAAGTTGACCATTGAGCAAGGTTGATGGTTTATCCCTTGGGTCCATGTGGCAGGGGTGAGGTGGTGCTCATTCCTCACCCCTGCCACATGGACCCAAGGGATAAACCATCAATCTTGCTCAATGGTCAACTGTCCTCACCGGGGTCACCCATAAAGACAGCGGGAGGATTAAAAAATATCTGGACTCATAGCTAAGCGCACATTTATACTCACACATCCTTGTTTCAAAATTGATGTAGACTCCTCAAAAATGTCTTCCTTAATGCACGCATTGCATTTCTGGGGTCCATTACTGCAAAGAAACATGAACAACTCTAGTTTACATAATGACCAGTGGATTTGTAAACAACAAAGAATAACACACAAGATCTTTCAGCTCCTTACCTCACAGCCCTGTTGAAGCAGTAAGAGCAGAAGCGATGTCCACACTGGGCCTGGAACGGCCGTCGGAGTATGTTGTGGCAACAGTTGCACAGGTGCTTGTCCTCCAGCTTATTTCCCAGGATCTTCTTAGGGAAGCCAGGTTTATTGCTCTCCATGGACGAAGGAGGGGACGGTTCCTGTGCGGCCATGGTGTCCCGTTACACGTCACACCTAGGAAAGACGATAAGATGTCAAAGGCTGGAGATGTGAAGGAAATCTCCTACAGTTTAGACACTTTGGAAAAGCAATGATTAACAATGGATTGTTTTTTGTTTTTGAGCTTCTTTCCAGTAAGTACAAGCTGAAACATTCATGGTATTTCACAACTGCAAATAAAAGAAGTTCTTATGATGGATTGTGGAGTATGAATGTAAAAATGGACCCCAATGCCTCCCTGCTTGACACTCAGCTTTAAAGGGGTTGGATTGGGGGTTTAAACCACCAAATAGTTCCTGAGCGCAGCCACAGCTGTAGCTCACCGCTCCCCATGGGATGGGTCAAATGCGGAGATGAATTTCACAAGTGTGTGATGACTATGGGACTTTAACCTTAAATCTGGTAGAACCTCAGAAGGCAAATCACAATTTTATCACACCTTTAACTTAAGCTTTAAAATATTTTTTTTCCTATGAAGCAAGTAAAGCCCAGTTCACACGGCAGGATTTTTAAAATTGTTTTAGAATGTGAACACCACAGGTGGCGATTGCAATATCACAGATAAGACCAGTTCTGGTCCTACAGTGAGTGATATTTGGCGACATGGTAAAAACCATTGTCATGATTACGTAGACACCCCATTGGGCACTAGGGAGCGTAACAGTGCCGCCACTATATTGGATGGATTCTTCATTCTGCAAACCCAGCTGGAATCAATGCAAAGTGAGCAGCTATGCCCGTTTTTTGTGCAGTCTACTTTTGCCACAACTGGCACACTACTGAAAACAGAACAGGTTTTCTGGGCACGTTCAACCAAAATGATAATGATAATGACCCGCACTTGTATAGCGCCTCTCAGAGTAAGGACTTCAAAGTGCTTTACACTACAGTGTATCATTCATCCATTCACACACTCATTCACACACTGATGGTGATGAGCTACGATGTAGCCACAGCTGCCCTGGGGCGCACTAACAGGGGCGAGGCTGCCGAGCACAGGCGCCACCGGTCCCTCCGACCACCACCAGCAGGCAAGGTGGGTTAAGTGTCTTGCCCAAGGACACAACAGCAGAATTCTCTGTCCGGAGCCGGGATCGAACCTGCAACCTTCCGATTACTGGACAACCTGCTCAACCTGTTGAGCTACTGCTGCACCCAAAATGAGACCAAAAGGAAGACCCAGGACACACGGAGGGACTTAGACTCTCAGCTGGCCAGGGAACACCTTGGGATTCCCCTGGAGGAGCTGGCCCAATTGGCTTGGGAGAGGGAAGTCTGGGCCTCCCTGCTTAGGTTACTGCTCCCGTGACCCGACTCCAGAAAAATGGAATTGAATGGATGGATGAACTGGCTAACGATCCTCTGGAGGTCCACTCAGGGCTGGCCTGGGCCAACTGTTACGTTCCCCACTATTGTGTGGCCGTATGTGTGCTGTTTCTCTTTTATTTTATTGTGTTTATTTTATATGGCACATTTAAGTACAAACCTGATAAGGACACGTAAGTTGAAGGACAGACAACATGAATACAAGTCATCGCTGGAGGGTGGCGTCCCCGTCGTTGTGGAGATGTGCTGGGATTCCCTCACCGTGGACGTTTTCTCCGATGACACCTTTTTTAGCACATGATCTTTGACTGTAAACTTAGTTAAGTGTGAGTTTGTGAGAGCCACGGTCTCTTACTTGGGAAAAGAAGTGGGGCATGGTTTCGTTAGAATGCTTTCTGACAAAGTAAAAGCAGTCTGATTTCCTGGTTCCAAGGACTAGAAAAGAATTAAGACGTTTTTTGGGAATGGTTGGATATTATCGTTGTTTCTGTAACAACTTTGCTACTGTGGTTTGTCCTCTCACACAGTTATTGAGTCCCAAAGTCCCCTTTAAGTGGAACCAGGAAGCTCAGGCGGCCTTTACTTCCTGCAAACTTCTATTGACAAATGCTCCTATTCTTAAAGACCCAGACTTGTCTAAACCTTTCTTTATGGAGGTGGATGCGAGCCAGGTGGGAGCAGGAGCTGTTCTTTTGCAAAATGATGAGAATGGTTTCGTTCATCCTGTTGCGTATTAATCGAAAAAGTTAAGCCCTTGTCAGACCCGTTATTCTACCATAGAGAAGGAAACATTGGCATTACTGACGGCGTTACAACATTTCCATGTTTATGTAGGTTCCGGTGACAAGCCCCTCACGGTCTACACAGACCATAATCCGTTAACGTTTTTGGCTAGGATGTTTAATCATAACCATCGGCTGATGAGGTGGGCTTTACTGTTACAGGAGTATCACCTAGAGATTAAGCATAAGAAGGGAACGGAGAATGTGATGGCCGACTGTTTGTCACGTGTTGCGGAAGTGGTTGAAGATAGGATAGATTAGAATTAAGTATAGTTTATTGTAAACAACAAATTTGTTGTCGGGGGGGGGGGGGGGGGGGGTACGTTCCCCTCTATTGTATGGCCGTATGTGTGCTGTTTCTCTTTTATTTTATTGTGTTTATTTTATATGGCGCATTTAAGTACAAACCTGATAAGGACACGCAAGATGAAGGACAGACAACATGAATACAAGTCATCGCTGGAAGGTGGCATCCCCGTCGCTGTGGAGACATGCTGGGATTCCCTTACTGCGGACGTTCTCTCCGATGACGTCATTGGGAAGTCCCCACTCCGAATTGCTGCAGCCACATCTGCAGCTTGTCTTGGATTGATTGTGTTTGTTTCCTTGAAGGTTAAAAGGAACGTTGGATCCATGCGTCAAGGAGCTACTCCTAACCCATCAGTAGTCTCGATTTCTGCTCCGTTGTGGACACCCTGACTCTGTAGAAAACTTGTGATTATGTGCGTGTGTTTAGAGGAAAGCCTCTACACGGTATTCTACCCTAAATTGAGTCATTGGTTCCTGGTATCTAGTGTCAACTCTTTTGATGGTGTTTACACGTAGACAGAAGGCTGGTTATTCTCCGTTTGTTCAAGGGCTCATTTTGATTGGCTTCGGGAAGCCTTTTTGCTCATAGAAACTCTTAGTTTGGCCGTGCCACCTTAAGTAAACGTTGTGTTTGAAAGTAACCAGCAATCTTTTGTTTGTAGTCGGTTTTCCAGCTTTTAGTTCAAAAACTGTGATTTTTCTTTAGTACCTTTTTATTGACACAGGAGTTCTTTTTGTTGGGCTGTGTCTAGTTGTATTTTGTTAGAACTTCCAGCCCCAATAACTGGTGTAAACTGTGTAACAAAAACCAATTTCAATTTCTTCATTAAAAAAGATAAATATTTCTATACCCACGTTTCTTTCTCATCTGTTGTTTTCTTTCGCTGACATTGTTAGGGGGGGGGGGGTACTTAACACCAACACGCCCACTACAACTGATTGGCCGGCTCAAATACACACCTACTGTTAGGGGGAGCATCTGACTGGCAGATAGAATCAACCAGCATGATTCATTATCATTCATTATCACTGTGACGACCTCTGCCCTGGCAAGCCTAATGCAGCTGACATACTCTCCTGGAGTCCTGAGAACCGCCACACGAGGACAGCAGAGAGACTGATAGACAGCTGACTCCAATCACATCATCAACACCTGGATCCTATATTAAGCCTCCTATTTTCATCAGACAGGGGGACACAGTAACAGAGGTTAGAGCGTTAAAGCTTGTACTCTGTCATTTGAGCACTGTGATCTTCCTTCCTTGTTAAGCCACTGGGTTCTGTTAAACATCCTGTGTAAAGTAGCTCATTCCAGTCCTCATATTTTTGGTGGCCCCTTTTAATAGGGTTTTGTTGAGGTTTCTCCCTGGTTAACGCCTGTAAGAGCTTGTTAAGTTGGTTATGGTGGCTGGCACCCTCCCTATTTTAGAAAGGGGGAGTTTTTTTAGGTTAATTTCTGGTGTCTTGTTATAAAACTGTTGACCCCTTGTGTTAATAAATCCTTTTACTTTACCTTTGTTGGAAAACACTCCTCTCCCGACTCTCAGTTGTTTCTCCTCATTTACCTTAAAGTCTTCCTTAAATTCAATTATTCTGTGTTCACCCCCTTACCTACTCCTAGACGGAAAGAGGGGATGTAACATAATGGGGGCTCGTCCGGGATAATTGTTCTGAACCTTTTTAGAGTGTTTTACCCTTCCAACGGACGATTATTAGTTTAGTGGGGGCCTTCGAGTATTTAGGGTTTTGTGGATACCTACCCCATAGGTGGTAACGGGTGTTTTCAGTTGACAAGTAGTAGTGGTTTTGGGTTCATTCAGTTTCTTTACTTTTTATTTGGTGTGACGTGTGCCTTTGTATTAACCTTGTGATGTTTTCACTTAAAAGGGTTTCTCGACGCACCTTCGCGGGAAGCGGTCGAGGGGTGCAGGAAACGTGACCTGCTGGAGGTGGCTGCACACCTTGGCCTGAGCGTCACACACGCAACGCTAAAGGAGGACTTGAAAAAGGCTGTGTTGTCTGCCTTAGTTGCTGAGAACCTACTGATGGATGAACACCAAGGTGAGGATGAGAAGGACTCTGAGAAAATGAGCAAACCGGAACTGACGGAGGGGGAAGACATTAAGGATGAGGATATGTCAGCACTTCCTGTTGACAGACCGGAGGCCGCTGCTGCCGGTATGCAAACTCCTCCTGCTGGGGCTTCGCCAAGGACTTTGCCCCGTTTTGATTCTCCCTCTCCAACTTCCTCAAAAGCTACACCAGAAAGCGTCAGGCTGCAAGTACGTTTGGCTCAGCTAAAATATGCAGCCGAGAAGGAGCAAGTCCAGCTACAAAAGTTGGAATTGGAATTACGTCGTGTGGAAATCGAGTCGCAAACAGCGATCGCCCTGAAGAGAATGGAGTTGGAATGTTTGTCTCTACCCCAATGCAAGGGGCAGTCCCAGGCTTCAGACCAGTCCTCCCATCCAGAGATGCCAGGGACACCACTAGGTGCCACGGAGGAAGACCGAAAGCCGGACATCAGCAAATGCCTTGCGTTGGTGCCGCCCTTTTCAGAGACCGAGGTGGACAGCTACTTCCAGCTTTTTGAACGTC